TGTGAGATTGCGATGAACTGAGATGTCTTTTAGAGATTATAAATGCAGTGCTCTTTGCTGGCATTCTGCCATGCCAAACCATGCACGCTGCTTGCTTTAGTTAAAAATAACAGTGTTCTGTGAATGTTGATGCTTTAAAAACAAATATTTATCAGGAGTGTGTATGCTGGGATTTCATAAATTTAATGGAGAAAAAAGTAACGTAACTAGTAATGTAACTAATTACTAATTACTTTTGAAATAAAGTAAACAGAACAGTAACGTGATTACTTTTAAAAGGAGTAATCAGTAATCAGTAATTACAGTAATTAGTAAGTACAAATCAGATTACATTTTCAGAGGAACTTGCCCAGCACTGCACAAGAGTAAGTAAATGTCAAATTCTGTATTTTTTGTAAACTATTCTCTTCTGTCTTGAGAAATATTTGAGAAGTGCTTGTCCATAAATGCACCAGGTGCTCGGAAACCTTTATTTCTAGCTTATTTGCTGAGTCACGTCTGTTCCAGGAGGCCTTGTGTAGTCTGCTGTTAATAGCACTATAGGCAAATAGTTGTTTTTGAACCAGGTCCAAGTATATATGCAGGAGGTAAATGCTACCTGTCGGCAATGGGTCTTCTCTCTCTCATTTTCTCTCCTTCTATTTTTCTCTCACTTTCTGTCTTTATGGGACTTCATAGTGTGATATTCAATAAACAGGCTGTTGTTAGTAAGGAGTCAAAGTTGGTTAGAGTGTGCCTGGCATGGCTCCACAGACCCAGGAGAGACTACATGGGGCCACGATCAGGGTTTATAGGGCGCTTGGGAGTAAATAAAGAGAAGAACGCTGTGCTAGCTCATCTCAGGGGTCTGAGTCTGCTTTAAACTTCGACTTTCCCAACAGACAAGCATTTGTTATGATGGTCTGTACAGGGTTTGTTCATTCAGTCGAGTCCTGAATCTACATTGTCCCTCGCTCACTCTCTCTGCCAGAGACTTTATTCAGAATAGACACTATACAGTATTTAATTGGTCACGAAAAAAAAGAGGCTGTGAAGGATTGAAACAAGTCAAATTGGGATTTGGGAGGAGGATGATCTATGTGGTTCTCAATTCCAGTCCTCGCGACCCCCCGCTCTGCATATTTGCATATTTTACATGTCTCTCTTATTTAACACACCTGATTCAGATAACCAGCTCATTAGAAGAGAGCTCCATGCATGAAATGTGTTACGATTTACATGGTCCCTACACAGTCTTCATTGCTCCCTATTCCCTGCACCCTACACTCTGCAGTAAATGGGTGCCATCAGAATGAGAGTCCAAACAGCTGATAAAAGCATCACAATAATCCGCAGGTAATTCACATGACTCCAGTCCATCAATTATCATCTTGTGAAATGAAAAACTGTATGTTCATAAGAAACAAATTCCATCATTAAGACTTTTTCAACTTCAAGCCATAGCTTTTGACTAAAATGTGAGTCCTTTATTCATAGTATTGCTTTCTCCAGTGATGACTACCGATAATATGAAATCTTTACATTAATCAATGTTGTTGTATCTTTAATAGGAGGCATGATGATGTGACTTGCCTATAGATATATAAAATTTTGAAGAATAATTCTTATTGTAACAAAATGTAACATTTTGAAATTTTGATATATATATATATATATATATATATACCAGGCAAGAAACTGATAAAACTACTGATAACATGTTTTACTTGAATTAAACACATTTCATTACACCAAATACACAAAATAATGTTATTTTTAGCAGCATCATATGACCCCTTTAAGATGTTTTGGAGAAAAGTTTCTGCTAGTTGAATTGAATTTGGCAGAACTCTGTTGCAGATTTTTAATGGCAGAATATATAATGCCAAATTAACAAATTCCTCGCTTATCGACTGGTTTTTGGACTACCCATCTGCATCTATTGTCAGTGCAGCAGTTTTATTTGTCGTCTTATGTAACAGAGCTGCTGTGAAAGGTCTTCTCATGCTTGTGAAATTCTAATGTCAGGAGAATTTGTCTTGGATAAGCATAATGAGGCTGTCTGTGTCTTTTGCTGGTGTTACGTGGCCGATGTTGGAGACACTTTCTCCTTTTGGCCCCAAACAGATCTCAGGTTACAGGGGCTATTCTGTTTCACAAAGCTGGGCACGTTTGTCTGGGTAACTCGAAACACTGGGCCGTGAGCTGTGGAAAAAGACTGAGTCATCCGGCTGCAGATCTTCTCTCCAGCGGAGATGCGCTCTGGGAAATGGTGTGGACAGCAGTGCAGGATGATACACACTATGTCAGCCATACCATATGTGCTAGACCGTCCACAGCCATGTAGTTGCTTGGCAGGCACCCACATGCAGAAATTCTCACAGTATCAAGCCAAGTCGAAAAGCCAAGACATACAGCTTCACCCTCAGAATCCAGTTTTCCTGCGCCTTTCTCCGTATTGCTCCAGAAATGCAAAAATTTGATTCCTCTGGGTATCTCATGCGTATTCTTAGACTCGCTGTTTAATTTGATAATGAGCATGTAGGGCGCTGTAGAGTACGGTTATGGTTAGTAGCAAGGCTAATGTTACCGGCGAGGAAAGCGCAAGTTCATTATGAAATAGATCCAGTTACTCGTTTGCTTCAATGGCAGAAAGATTAAGTTGCAAGTGTTGTCAAGTTGCTTTAGTAAAAGTTGTGCTGACAGATGCTGTCTGTGTCTGTTGATTTTTATGTGTCACTGGCATAGGCCTGTGGCCGTATTTTATATTTTGAAAATTGCATACTTTGAAATCCTTCGAAAAAATGTAGATAACCTATCAGGAAAATTGTTGACTGTTTTAAAAACTGTTATCATTCTATATGGTATTATCACAAATGGTATTCTATATGTTTTTATCAACAGTTTAAAATATAAATTTTAGTTTTAGTAACTTAAAAAAAACACCTGATTAAATTAAATGTATTGATATATTGATATTTTTCAAATAAATAATTATTTATATTTAAATTTAATTTAAATTAATATATATTTGTGTAATTATATTAAAGAAAATAACTTTGAAAAGAAACTTGATATAAATGTAAATTAAATAGACTAAATGATAACTAATAATAACTAATATAAATGTATAATAGTCATAAAATATATAAATAATAATAATAAATAATATTAATATAAATGTATAACAATAAAAAAAAAAAATTAACCATGTCCTAGGCAAGCCGCAAGTCTTCTGCGAAGAAAGACGCAGAAGGCTTGCTGAAGGCTTTTTTTTTTAATAGATTTTTCTGTATGAATATGGTTTAGTAATTTTTTTTGAGTTAGGTGACAGAAAAGTTAAAAATGAAGCTATGGTGTGTCTGAAAAAAAAAATTAATAGGTTATCTAGAATGCTTCCAATTATTTTGAACTTGCATGGTAATTGTAGAGGTACCGAATGCATGTCTTCTCTGGCCTGAACAATACGCTTTGTGCTATATCACTACAGTGTATTAAATGAGTAGCAGGGCATTTTGGAGACTGCTGAAGTTAGCTAGTCGCTTACGGAGATGTCCCATTCTGTGGCATGTTGCCAACCAGATCATCAAACTTTCATTGTATAACTCACACAATGCTGCATTTGTTTACAGGTCTCAGTGTTGCCGTCCTGCTTTCGGGAAGCAAACCTGTGGTATTATACGCTGTAGGTTTGAGGAAGCGAATCTTCTAGAGGAAAAATATCTTTTCTCCCATCTCCACGAGTTTCTGTTTTGTCTGCGTTTCTTTACTGTGTTGGTTCTTGTCCACTCCATGTGTTTATCTCATATCTGGTAAATGGAGGCTTCAACCCACACGGATGTTACTACAGAGTCTTTGCCGATAGGGATTGCGGTTGGTCGACTTGTTCTAAAGCTGAATGCTCAGCATCCATCCATCTTCATCTGTCCTCCAACTCAAATGCAGCTGCATATCATTCCATTGTGTTTACTTCCAGTTATTCATGAGACAGATAGTTCCTCCGTTCATCAGGCCTGATAATCTATGGACGAGATGGGGGTTGGGTCTGTGCCCGTACTTGTCCGTCACTCTTTATACGGATGCTGTGACCTACATGTCATCCCCACAGCCACCTCTGCTCCCGGGGTCAGGGGAGTCCAAACGCTATCTGACCCTTTTTTTCCGCAACATGGCTCTCTTCACCCACTCAGTCTGTCCAGTTTCTCTCTCCCCTGAGTCTCCTGGCAGTTAGTAGTAAGTCACAGGAAGTCGGCTGGATCTTTACTGTCTTTTGGAGCTCAAGGCCACACATGGTTCTGGTCTTTCAAGACTTTAGAAGCTTAACTCACCTGACCTAATATACAGTAAGAGCAGATGCAACACAGAATCAGGCTTCTGGTGTAAACAGATGTGCTGTGGAACATTAATTCACTTTCACAAGTGTATATAAATAAACCTGGGTACTTTGTGCCATGTTAAAATGCTCTCCTATATATGGAGTTCCAAATTAATGTTTGGGAGAAGCTTGTGAAGCTTGTGTATCTAGTCATCAATCATAACACAAGGCTGTTTAACTTACAGCTGTGATAATTCATCTAGCATTTGACTCACAATTTACTGGTTTTCAATTCGTTTCTAAACTGAGTGTTTTTGTTTTGTTTAGTTTTTGTTAAAAGTGTAGAAAAATTGAACCTGTAATATAAATATCACAACATTAAAGTAACATAATCTGACTACTTTTACCAAATGTTGCGATTATTTTGTCCATGTAACAATTTAATATGTATATATTTTAAACATTGTAATGTAATTAGATGAATCATGATTTATTTGTTTCTTTGAATATGAATTGGCAGTAAAAGTGCATTGAATTCAAATATTAGGAAAGAGTAACCATACTTTGTGGTCCATATCATATCACATGGTCCAACATAGTTCTGTAAACTTTTTAACATTCATTAGATTTTCAGCATGATGTTCATTAGTTTTTGTGTTTTTTTCCTTAGGAGAGGAAAGAAGCACAGTATACTCCTGAGAACACAGCTGTCTGTCAGAGTCCATACCTGCATAGGTGAGTAACAAGATGCTGTTTCCCTGTAATTAAACTATAAATGGTGAGAAAAAACATTTTGTACTTAATCTTCACCCTTTTAAATTTCTGGCTCAGTCAGCAGATTCTGGCTGCATCAGATTGTTTAGGAATTATTTTCTCATTTGTTGCTTGTTGAATGACGGATGTGTAAATTATACGTACCGAGGCCCTTACTTGATTTTAACTGTGTGGTAAAGTTTTCCTCTTGCTAATAGGCCCTCACGCCGCAACATTTATGATCTAGTTTAAATATGTTCCATGCTTGACTTCTCAATCGATATAAAACAGCTAATGTAGCAACTAATTATGAAAGCCTGGGTAGTGCTTTACACACACACACAAGTTGTGTCAAGCGTATTGGAGTTTAAAACTTTAAAATCTAATTCCGTTTTAGGCTTTTTAATTTATAACCTGTGTGATCAGTTTCAAAAACACTCACAAATTTGCCATGGCAACATTTTTCTGCCAGAATATAAAACATAGATGATAGATAGCATGTTTGAACTCACATGATCTTGCATAGTTACTGTATATTTCTTCACAATCTTGTTGTTTATCTCATGTCCCTAAACCCTTTGACAGAATCAGGCTTCATTACCTCCATAAGCCTTATCCCAGATTAACATCTGTGTCATTGTGTGGAAGCAGGACGGCTATGGCTATCTCTGTGTCATGAAGGATTAAGTGTCACAGACAGCACCCACAAAACCCATTAAGCATATAAACTGTGTTGTTTCTCTGGAAGTGCAGTATGCATGTAACTCACTTCAGAGGTTTGTTACCTCTGTGACTCATTGTCTCAGACAGCACACCCACAAACCATACATTATATGGACAGTCTGATGCTCAGTGGACATAAAAATAGGTTTTATCGGTGTGCTTGGAAGTTGTGTTTACAAGTTACCAGGCTGCTACAAATGCTGGGTTTCCATCCAAGTGTGTTTTTGTGAATTGTGAATTCCAATAATGATACGATGTCTCAGTATCCCATTGTATGCTATTGTTTTATGAATGTGTTTATGAATTTGTGGAGTTAAGTTATATTAAAAACTATAATTTGTATAACTGAATTACATTTTTTTTATACAGAAATCTTATATAAATGTATAAGAATACTTTGCAGTGGCTTTCCCAGTGGCGACAAATTCCCTTTCAGCAGGTTTATTGGAAGTGATGATTTTGATTGATTGATTTATTTTGATACTTATTTATTAACTTTGATAGGGGGTGAAATCACAGTTTTATCCGCACAATTGTTTTTGCAATACTCAGTTTATTATTATTATTATTATTTTATTTTATTTTTCTTAAATTCGTAACTTGGAAACATATTTTATTACCTCAGGAAAATTTGTCTTAGAATTAATATTAAATATGCTAAATGTAAATAACGTTTTTTTTTGTGAAGTACATGTTACCTTTAACATCTTACACCTTTTAACATCTTTAACACCTTTAACATCTAACACCTTTTCCCTCAAATACTGGATAGATAGACAGACAGACAGACAGACAGACAGATAGATAGATAGATAGATAGATAGATATAGATTTTAGAAAATGTAAAAATATTAAAAAATAATATTTAACATTTAATTGTGAAGTCCAATTTTTTTTTTGTAGTTTACTCAATGTCTTTCTATTGTTGCCTTTCTATTTATTTATATTTTTAAGCTGTGGTGCTTTAGTTAGTGTACTGACTGGTTATGATTACAGCATATTCAGTTTTCATCATCTTCTCTCTGAGAAGTTGTAGTTTGACAAATTTTGTGAGATTTGTGACATCAAATATTCAAAAGATTCAAGAGTTTTATTTGAGATACTATCACACCTTTACTTTAAACTTTTAAAATCATCCGATTTCACATTTATCCACTCTTAAACGTCATCTACAACTGCGGTTGGCTGCTTTACGTGTCAGTCAGTTGGCCTTTTCATGTTTAAATGGGCGGTTTTTGGCTGGAATAATCCGCAATGTAGACCAGACTTCATGCCGACAGTCAAACGTCTAAGTGATTCACTGCTGTTGTCTACAGGAACTGGTAGTCAGTGTTTAAGACAAGTGTGTGTCTGTAGCGAGCAGTATAAACTTAGTGGCGTGCTGCACTGCAGCCAAGCACACGTGGCTCGTACAGTTTTCCCTCTCCAGACTGCAGGGGAAAATATAACCGTCAGCCTGCAAAAGCCATTAAGCTTAGAACTGTCAGGTTTTAATTTGTACGTTTCGCAAAAGTGTTATTTAAGGATATCAGGGACAAAAATTGCCCCATGAAAGAAGTGCAGTTATCTCTCACAGTCAACTCCATTTACTGATCCTGCATGCCTGAGGGATTGCGGAAACATTGGGAAACTCCAAAGCTGTTTTGCTAGGGGTATTTTGGTCCAAAAATAAAGTTGCTGAAACTGCTGGCAAGGTCTGAGAATCTGTTGAGAGTGATTTTACGAACCAGACCTGCTCAGACACCTGCCCATGAATCGTTTTCCCTTTCGTTCTCGCGCAATTTGCGAACCATGAAAGAGGGCAGCAGCTTAGCACAAGTACCTCTTGTAGCAAACCCTTCCGAGAAGCTTCACCTATCAACAGCTCTGAACGTTTGGTTATTGATTTATGTCTTGATAACGTACTTTGAGTGACTACGTTGTTTGTCTCTGTGGAATCAATGTTCCGTATCTACGATTTCAACCCGTATGGAAAAGGCAGCTTGATAAGAGAACCACTATGCTTTGCAGATGTTGCCTTGCCTCTCTACAGCTTGTTGAATGTTATTCTGCCATTCTATCCTCTGTCCCGGGACCTGTCCTAAACCACGCTGCATTCCTTGTAGCAATGATGGGATCGCTTTTCTGACCAGCTGTGTGCTTGTGTGATTGAAGGCCTATCTGGGTCAAAGGTGGGTCCTGTGTGTGGGAGGTAAGGGGTTGGTAAGACTCTCTCTTGCTCTCTAAGCAGATGACCCAAGATGACAGCTGCTGCTCTTCAGGCTTAAAGTGTCTTTTAAAGTGTATTTTTTATGTACGGTTTTATAGTAGGTTTTATAGTATTTATTCAAATTTTTGGGGGTTTTATATTTTCAGTTTTCATTTTATTTTTAGTTTGCTTTAGTGATATTATGTGATTTTTTTTATTAGTTTTACTTTTTTTATTTAGCTTTAATTAATTTCAGTTTAGTAATTTTTTGTGCTTTTACAGTATTTACCAATTTTATTTCAGTTAGTTGCCAAAGCAACATTTCATATTTTCATGTAGTTTATTCTTGTTGAGTTGACTTTTTTCATCATTTTATTTTATTTAAAAAAAATAATTGTATTATTTTTTTTTAAATATTATAATTTTTTTTTTATAATTATATTTTATGTCAATGAATGAAAACATTTTTTAAATAGTTTTAATAATTGTATTATTTTTTTTTTAATATTATAATTTTTTTTTTAATAATTATATTTTATTTCAATGAATGAAAACATTTTTAAAATAGTTTTAATAGTTTTTGTTTTAGTTAACAATAACGGCACTGGTTAATGTTAATAAAAGTATTTTAAACGCTCTGTGGTTTACATTGTTTTTGAATGAGGGAAAGAATCAGTTTCAACATTCAGTGTTTGAATTTGTCAGACACTTAACTTTATATAACTTTAATAAGCTCTGTACATAATTATAAACGTGTGATTTGTAATTTTATTACTGACTATTGCCTTTTTGAAGCAGTTTAACACTCCTTAATTAAAAAATTGCATCGGAATTGGTAATTTCACTTTTGGATTACAATTTGGTAGTGTAAACACTAGATGCATATTGCATTCTAAATAAATTAAATATAAAATTTATCCATTTAAAATTTTTTTTTTAAATTTCACATTCTTTGTTAAGAGCTAGTATGCATCGTGGTGGTGCTAAAATTGGTCCTGAAACAGTTTTTCCAGTTTGATCAATTACAGCCTTATTTGTCTCTGCATGTGAACTTTGGGAGATAAAATCAACTGCAGTTTTTTGACTGCATGTTTTATGTGATGTCACAGCTGTGGGTTAATCATGTATTATCATAATTTGTGTTCAATAATTTGTCTGTTGATCCACTAATCCGTAGAATCGTAGAATCCCAATTTTCCACCAGTATTTTGGCCTTTCAACCCCCTACATAGCACTTTTGGTCATTTTCAGCTCAGTCCAAATGAATTGCTAATCTAAAACATCTCTTTTGTGGGAAAAAAAACGCAGTGTCACCACCCAACATTTATTTGTAAAAGTAATTTCATGTATAGAGAGATGCATATACTTCCCATAAACATTGTCCATCTGCAATATCTTCAGTGAGGTCTGGCCGTGCTTTTGATCGCACATTCGGGGCCTTTTATCTTTAGTTTGATGAAAGGAATGAATTCAAAACCACCATGCTGCTGCTATTCATAGCAGGACTTTACACACCACACCATCATAAATCAACTCACCAGAGTGAGCTGTCAACAGACCTAAGGACACAACGCCATGAGAACTATTTTCATGCACTTGTCTGGGCTCATTAGTGAAAACTGTTGCACTTGTGCATGCCTGATTTATATTTTCCATGTCTATGCTAACCACTTCATTAAATGACAGGAGTGTTTGGCTACTGCTGTGCCCAGTATGGTTTCAATGACCTCCATGTTTTGACTGTCCATCGTTATTATTATGGGAAGTTACATGGGTCAACTGTGTAAGCGTGAGTCGGACTCTAGACCTAAGGACACAGCGCCATGAGAACTATTTTCATGCACTTGTCTGAGCTCATTAGTGAAAACTGTTGCACTTGTGCATGCCTGATTTATATTTTCCATGTCTATGCTAACCACTTCATTAAATGACAGGAGTGTTTGGCTACTGCTGTGCCCAGTATGGTTTCAATGACCTCCAACGTTTTGACTGTCCATCATTATTATTATGGGAAGTTACATGGGTCAACTGTGTAAGCGTGAGTCTAATGGACTCTAGACCAGGGGTTTTT